TTGGAGTATCCGAGAGCATTTTATTTTTCTGGTCTATGGAAGGCTGGTTTCTGTCATCTAGCTCTTTCACTTAAGCAAGAAAGTTAGCAAAGATGATTCATTCTATGATGCTGATGCCAGGGTTGGCTCTGGAAGACGCTTTCTCAGCTGAAACTAAATGATGCTTTATGTGTCTTCTCTAAATAGAGAGATTAGAAAGTTATTTTAAAAAGTGGTAGAGAAGCACATTAAATATGTGATAAAGTAAGTGGTTTTGTAACTGATTTTATTACTTAAGTTCAAGCATTTTTTTTTCTTACTAGTCTTTGTCAACTATAAATTAAGATAGAAGAAGTTGGACAAGGGGCAACTGAAGCAGTGCAGAATGCTTCAGAGATCACGTTTTTAAGGGTTATTAAACACAATTTGTTTTTGTCAGATTCCAATTTATCTGTATCTTAGCAAATCCAGGAAATGTGAGTTCTGACATCTTGTACATCCTTATTAATTATTCATGCTTGAGATTCTGTACTTGCTTGACCTTAAGGAATATGTGCTGTTTATTCCAGTGAGAATCTGGTAGAATTTGCTGCTCATTTTGAAAAAAAATACAGCTACCCCTGTCACCCCCTTTCTGGTTTTAGACACATTAAATATCTGGTACCCATCTCCTCCACCTCTAATCACTTCTTTGGAGAAAACAACAACAACAACAATAACAACAATAATAAACTGGAAGTAGCCATAGAATGATAATAATAATATACAGGGAATTTTTAAAATACAAAGATTTAAAATTTAATGTTACAAGCCCCAAAGAGTTTTATTGTCAGAAATAAGCACTCTACACACCTGAATTCTGCAGTGATGCTTTTAAATTCCCAATTATTTCTGAGAGTTCATACAATGTACAAAATAACGTAACTTTCTTTATGATCTATAACTGATGTCATCTGGCATCAGAGTTCTTCTTTCTGATGGAGGAGGGAGAGAAGTTGGATCAGCTTAAATTTTCCAGGAAGGTCTAAGTGGAAAAAATCCAAACTGTTTGTCCTCTGCTCTCACACCACAACAATCAATATAGAAAACTTCTGTGATCATACGTGTGGGGATTTCTCCCGATTAACAAGCAATCAGTTGATTCTGCAGTGGGCACAGCTGAGTATCCACCAGTTCGATTGCAACATTATCTACCTGAAGCCAGCATCAGATACCATAGATTGAGGGCTCAGTTCCCTAAGGCTGCCCCCCACTTTCCATGCCAATTGCCAGCCCCAGTTTATTTTACCTGTGCTTCTGACCAGCTGGCTATATATCAAAGTTCCCATGATCCTCTCTTTGAGTTTGAGTAATTTGCTAGAGTGTCTCACGGAACTCAGAAAAACACTTATGTTTACCAGATCATTATCAAGAATATTACAAAGAATATAGATAAAGAGATGCATAGGGTGAAGTCTGGGGGAAAGGGCATAGAACTTCCTTGTTCTCTCTAGATATGCCACTCTCTAGGAAACTCCAGGTGTTCAACTATTCTAGAAGCTCTTCACACTACAACTTCTTATGCCTTTTAAGGAGACTTTATTGGATGATCCAATATTTCAACTGTGTTGAAATGTGATTGGACAAAAAGGGTAAGAGAAGCCCAGCGAGGCCTGCCTGTTTAGATTCTTTTTGGCCTCTCTATACACCCTTTCTGCCTCTCAGGTATGGAGCAGAATCCCTTCTAAAAAGGGAATCTTATCTTCTATAGTCAGACAAGGTAGGTCAGAGAATTTCGTTTTGACCAGCTCCAAGACAGAAAGGCTGGGGAAGATTCCTGCCTTGAGGAGGAAAAAAAGCAGGTGAAAGGAAAGCAGTGGAAGGTCAGAGAGAGGGAGTCTGTTTTTTTTTTTGGTCATCAACAATGTTTTAATGATTAATGTTTAGACATTGTTTAACAGTGTGAATATATCCACATGAGGTAAGCACACTCTGACAGCACACTATTGAGTGTTATTGTTTCTGTATTGAAATCTGTAAAGACATCTGCCAATTAGTACCTAGGAATGAAGACATACATTTATAAATATACACATTCTAGGTCTGATAAGGTCGATGTAAACAGATGCCGTGACTCCTTTCAAACAGAAAATTCACAAAACTAATAAGAGAACCAGTAAATTCCCCACAAGATGAATGTGCAAAATTAAAACATGATCAACTGATATTTACATAAATACGAAACCAACAATTAGTTTATACATTGTCAATGATCTTCTAAGCTGTGTCATGAGTGGTTCAATCAATTCTTTTTTCCACATTGGAGCAGGTATTCAGAGGCTAAATTCCAACACTTTAAAATGACACACGTAATAGTCCTTTTCTGTTTGACTACTGCCTCATGTGTGAGACATGATTTCATGGAAAGCAGTCTATTAAACAAAATCTTTAGAGTCTAAGCAGAAAAGAATTACAGGTAATATTAGATTTATATTAAACAAGTTATCTGTCTCCAATCTCCCTATTCTCTGTTGCTATCTGTTTAATTTTGCCTTAACATTTCTTAAACTCCCCCCGTTTTTTAACACTTTGTTGATTTTGGTAGACTAGGCACACGTTAAAAGGAAGTTTGTGTTAAAATAGATAGCAGTACAGAAGTCAATCTAAATTTCGACGCTGGCAACCAGTTTCCCTCTGCTCATCTATGGGGCTCTTGTCAAATGGTAAATATTCAGTCATCTCTTCTGAAGGATCTATCTCCTCTCTTGAACTGATGGAAGCAAAATGGACTTTTTGTTTGCTATATAAAAACACAGCACTTCAGAAATATAAAAATGGCCTACTTGCCCTATACTCTCCCCAAAATCTTGAGGACAAAGAATATATATTTAAGTTTCCTCAAGACTGCTTTAGAGACCCCAACTTTTTACATTATTACTAGTGACACTCAAAATAAATAAATAAGATGCTAAACAGTTTGACTGTTTGTTCCACTAGATCTGAGCCTGCCTGATTCAAAGCCAATCGTACAAAACTGAAGGTGCCTTTTCTGATTTCACACCTACAAGTCATTTGAAATTATGTGTCACACACTAGTTTTATAAATCATGGTCTTCAATTTTTTTCTAAGTAGAGCTATCACAAATGAATGCAAACTTGAAACACACCCTAATTTAAACTAATAGGGAGTCTGTTTTCTGAGGTCTGCTTCTGAGATCTAAATACTTCAATGTTTTAAGAAGACAGCAACAAGGGCCATGGGAGTTATGAGCCAGGAACCATAAACAAAACTCTCTCTCTCTCTCTCTCTGACATACATACATACACACACACACACACACACACACACACACACACACACACAATTACAGAAAATATAGCTCACTTTCCTCCAGTTTACAATCTACTTTCTGGATAAATATTTAATCAGTTCAAAGATGCACTCCTTTACAGTAGTGGTTCTTCTTTCTTAAAAATGTTCTCTCCCCTCCTCCTCTGCCTTTCTAAGTTGGTATCTGCTTGTGAGGAAAAACACGGATAACTTCAGTTGAAGTGGAGGCAGATCGCGCTGTTATATGTGCTATTTTCCAAACAATGGCCAGTGGGTGTTCAGTGCTGGTATTTGCTGAGGTCTGATCCTGTCCTGCTGGCTGCCCAGACTGATAGCTATAGTTTCTGCCATAATTCAGCTCTCAGGCTATGGTCTTAGTATAGGCCTGTGAGAGTTGACATTTTTTTTCTTCAGGGGTCTTCTAGTCCCCCCATTCTCTGAGAATTCTTCACAACACTATGCCTACATTCCCTCTCTAACCCATGAAAGAGCTCAGAGCCAGGTGTTGCCTCTCTCTTTCCACCAATACTGTACTCTCTTATTGGAGCCACATGGCATGTGGGATTGAGCTGAATGCTTCTTGATAAAGCTGTCGACTTACCTATGCTGTGCCCAAGGGAACTATGGTGTTCTTGGATCTCCCCAAACCCGTCTGGTTCACTCCATCTCGTGGCTATACAACCTGCCTCACCCAGTTTTTCATCCCTTCCCTTAGTGGGGGTCAGAATCAATGATACTGACATCGATTTCTAGTTTTTCTTTTTACCCCCTACACCTCATTCTTCCAGCACCATTATGACCTTAAAATGACAGTGATGATGATGACAGTTGCTTATGTTAATATAACTCCATGTGTCAGGCACTATTCAATTAATTATTTTAAGCAATCCTCACAGTAACATTGTGAGACGAGTTCTATTATTACTCTGTTTTTACAGGTTACAAAAGTAGTTAAGAGCCAAATAATTGGCCAAAAGTTATATAGCTAATAAGTGATGGAGCCAGAATTTGAATCCATGCAATCTGGCTCCAGGGTCTGTTTTCGTCATATGATTCTGTTTTTTACCACTTTTTTCTTTCTGGCCAGATCTCTTATTTTCTCTCCTCCTTCTGCCTGGGATGGACTTTGGGACTGCTGTGTCACTTTAGTGCTCCTACAAAGCAGAACCTGAAGCCAAACTGATTTGCCAATATTTGATTGGGGAAATACAAACCTTAGGAAGCAGGAGAGAGGGAGAGGGAATATAAAGAGACATGTCACTGAGTGTAATTATGAGCAAATTTCTTGGTTTCTGGGGATATTTTTAAGGAGAATAAACGAAGGGACTCCATATTCAACAGTCTGTCTTGGGGAGAGGAAGGATGAAGCATTTGCCCACCAGCTTTCATAGTCCATGGATCAAAGTTGGCTCTGTGGAGTTTTAAATGTAACATGAGTGTCAAGTAAGTCTCAGTGTCTCCCAAACCTGAATACAACAGGGAAGTCCTGGGGAGTTAAGAGGAAAAGGGATGCCTTGAGCCTTTAGTTCTGTAGCTGCAGTGAAGGCAGGCGACAACTGGCTTCATGACTTATGGAAGAGAATGAGTTCTATTAAGGGTTTCACAGGTCAGAAAGCAAAGCAAGTGTATGGATATGGAGTGATGCATAAACAGAATCTGACACATGCTTCTTTCTCTTCCCTTATAGTAATAAATGTCGCAGAAAGGAAGCAGGGAAGTTGGAAGGAAATAACGTCGCCAAAAAAGTAAACTAAAGGTGTAAGGTGTGTGTCTAAGTGCTCTTTTAAAAAAAATGAATTCATATTTTTATGAAAAATTTAATCACATTACATAAAGTTTTGAAAACAGACTAAAAAAATGTTTTGAGTCTAACAGGATTGTTGATATTTTTGTGTAGATCTTAACATAAACATGAATGTAACTGTTGATTACAAGAAATTCGGTACAAGAATTTTCTCATATAGTAGTATTATATTTTAATAGTTTTATTATCTTCAGATTACTACATTTATAACAATAATTTAAAATTTTACTGAAAAGACTGTGAAATGGTCTAATTTTTAATTTTTAATTTAATTTTTCTAGCCCGATGTCCCTAAATGTATTGATGCCTTTTCCTCACAAACGGGCTTTGTGTTTCTTCCTTCCCAGTAAGTTTTAAGTGGCTAATTGCTGCAAGTCCTCCACTAGCATCGTTTACAGTGTTTGTAGTCATCTTTTTACCAAGTTGTTTGAAAATTCATTTTTTTTAATTTTGTGAACCTTTCTTTCCATGTCATCTCAGTTATATATTTATTTGTTTTTTTAAATTCAGTTGTCTCAGGCATTAATTAAAATCTTTAATCTATTAGCCAGAAATAAAATGCAGTCAACCCTACAATTTGCAAATATAAGGCCGAAATAACTGCTGGAGAGGTAAAATGTTTTGATTTCCAACTGTCTGTTTCAGTATCCCATAGATCGTGCCAGGAAGAAAGTTGAGGTGTATGATAATTCTTTCTGCTAACTGTGAGGATCCATGAAAACAACTGTGTGGTCTTGTTCTAGTGACCAGGGTTTGAAATCCTAGGCCAATAAGGACATTTGTCAAAATAAGGATTAATTGATGTTTAAAAGATGATCAAACCATTCAGATTTTATTCATTAGAACAGCAAAACAACATAAACAGATTCCTTCTAAATATATGATAAGAAGCAGTTGGCAATATTCAATTAAGGATCACTGTGTCAATATGTTCTCTAAATAGTTGCTTACAGCTTATTTTGGGTCTGTAGTTGTTCAATATTCAGGCAAAAGGATGCACTTACTCTGAGAGCTTAGATTTTTTTTTGAAAGAGAATTTCTTACTCTAGCTTGTAATAAATAAGTCAAACTGAAATAGTCATATTGTGAAATATTTAGTTATGCAAAAGGCTAATTATTAGAGTAGTCAGAGATTTATTTTTCATGTAGCAATTTCAAGAGTTTTGACTTTTCGATGACCCAGTGAATCCTGTCCAATTCAGGATGAAAGAGTTGAAAAAGGGATCAGAAATTATGGTGTCATATTTCTAGGGTCCCTGATTTGTCACTCAGAAAAGAATAAAAGCAGACAAATGATAAGAGACAGAAGTGGCTTTTGGTAAATTTCATTCCCAGAACATAGACCACTGAGAACTAATAAAGAAAGAGTAATTTAACAATAAATAAAAACTAAAAAAAATTAAACTGTGCTATTGACTAGAGTGTCAAAATAATATTTTGAAAATATTAAGCCGGACTTGGTGGCTCTGCCTATAATCTGGCACTTTGGGAGGCTGAGGTGAGTGGATTGCCTGAACCCGCAGGTTCGAGATCTGCCTGGGCAACTTGGTGAGACCTCATCTCTACAATAAATTAAAAAAAAAAAAAATCAGTCTGGCATGGTAGCGTGTGCCTGTAGCTCCAGCTACTTGGAAGGCTGAGGCTGAAGGATCACTGGAGCCCAGCAGGTCAAGGCTGCGGTGGCCGGGAGCAGCCACTGCACTCCAGTCTGGGTGACAGAGTGAGACTCCAACTCAAAACAACAACAACAACAAAAGGAAAATATTGATTAGTGCCATTTTCATTGCTTTTTCCTCAATCCATTTCTTTCCATTCATTGGTATAGGGAAGAGATACGGCATCATATTAAGCAGGTGTCCTACATCTACTGGCCTTGTCTTGGACATTTACCAATGCCTATGCCTTCTCATCAATTGATACGTAGAATGAAAATGTTGGAGAGTTGAGGACTCCATCACAACCCCAAGCTAGAAAAAGGCAGTGGGCTTGGGGAGAAGAAAAAATAAAGGGGGAGGGATAAGAATGTCAATGTTCATGGGTTCTGGATATAAGGCCACTGCTACAAGACTTTGAAGCAAAACCTAGAGATTGTGTTTCCCAGAAGCAGATCTTCAGTGGAGGATTCTTATGCAAGTACGTTATTAAAAATGGGCTCCCTTCCTACTTAGTAAGGAAGTAAGCAAGGTAGGACAGGAAAGGGAAGAAGAAAGCCGCCCACGGGTGTGATCTCAGGCTAAATCCTCCAGAGTCCTAATTCTGCTGAGGAGCACTGAAGAGTGGAAGATGCCTCAGAGTTGTCCCAATCTGAGCCAATGAGCGGGTCTATCTTGCTTTCATCTGTGTCCACCTTCCAACAAGGGCGTCCCTCCACAGAAGTGAACCTCTGAGGGCCAAACAGCCTCAGTTATCCCAGTGCAACCTTCAGAAGGGTCACTGGTGCAGGTTGATTGAACAAAACACCCTGGAGTTCAGGTGGAGGGGTGAGATTTGCACAAAAATGGTAAAAACAGGATCTAGTTTGTTCAGGATAGAGTACTGGCATCATCTGCTATGCCCAGGAAACAGGAAATGGAATACCATAGTAATAAACGCACAATCTGTGTGTACAGAGCACGCTGTGTTTTCAGATCTTTTCCTGCTACATTATCTTTTCTGACCTACATTAAAACCCTAAAGATACAGAGGAAACATATTATGATATTGATCTCAGATACGTGAAATTGAAGTGCAGCACCATCAAAGAGCTTACTCAAATGACGAAAGCCTACATCTTTAGCTCTAAACCCATCAGTCTTTCTCTAACTTGCAGCCACAAACTAGAGAAAATCTCGGTAAGCCAGGCTCGGTGGCTCAGCTTGTAATCCCAGTGCTTTGGGAGGCTGAGGTGAGTGGATTGCCTGAGCCCGCAGGTTCGAGACCTGCCTGGGTAACTGGGCGAGACTTCATCTCTGAAGTAAATCAAAAATTAGCCTGGGCGTGGTAGCACACGCCTGTAGTTCCAGCTACTTGGAAGGCTGAGGTGGAAGGATCGCCGGAGCCCAGCAGGTCGAGGCTGTAGTGGCCGCTCCCGGCCACTGCACTCCAGTCTGGGTGACAGAGTGAGACTCCAACTAAAAAAAAAAAAAAAAGAAAATCTCGGTAATCTTCTGATGAAAATCCAGAATTCAGGAGTCATTATAGAGTAGAGGCAAACCTGAGATTCCCATTAGAATTCCTTGGTTCTAGTCTGAGACCCTCTGAATCAGCATTTCTAAGTGTGAAGTCAAGGGTTTCTATTTTAAGAAGCTCCTCAGGGAATGCCTATGTAGCTAAGAAAATGCAACTATCCAGTCCTGATTTGGGGAACCACTGGTTCAGAGTACAGTTTTGGGTTTTAGACAGGACAGGTTTTAAGTTCTGGTTCTGCCATTTGCCATCTGTGTGAGTTTAGATGAATTCTCTCCGTCTCGCTTTTGTCACCTGCAAAACTATGTAATTTTAGTGCTTACCTCAAAGGGTTGTGTTGAGAACTCAATGAAATGATATTGGTAAAGAGCTAAGCCCAGAGCCTAGGATGGAGTAAGTTCCCAATAAGCTTGCTTTCCTATGATTTTATTATTATTAATCCTCATACTTTTCTTCAAATTACTCAAATTCAGGTCATCCTTCCTCTAAAATGCATTTTCTCCTCTATGCCAGACTGAATGTCAATGTAAGCCACTTTCCAGGACTTGAAAATGAATCAGCAAAGTAAACCTTTTGGTTAATGTTGTTTACTGGATTGGGATTTGAGCTGTGGCAATTCACATACATAGTTGGCAGATGGTGGATGGCCTTGGGAGGCTATACCATTTGCTTAGAATACAGAGTTTGAAGTCTCTCTTCACCAGCCATTTAAAAAATGAGTCTCACTTAGAATTTTGCTGAAGCAAATGAGTCTGTAGTCAAAATCCTGGTGAAATAACCACTAGTTTATTTACAGGCTAGAAGCCTAGCACGTTCAATCCCAGGTACACTTAATCTTAAAAGCAAATTTTACAGTTCTCTTAGAGTTCCTACTTTCTGGGCATCTAAGAAGATACATTTGAAAACCAGCTTCTGCCCAGCGCCCAGCCCCATGACAAATAAAAAAAAAGAGGAAAGAATTTTTCTGTCTAATTTGTAAAGGAAACAAGAGAAATAAAAAGAGCAGAAAGAAGCCAGCTGCTGGAATGGCACTCAGAGAAGTTTTCAATAGGTAGAAGAGAAATCACAGTGTGTATGGAGCCAGAATAAGGGTGGTCTCTCGGTTCTCGGCCCTTTTACTATATGCATTAATAGAAGGAAACACCAAATCATGATTCAGGGACAGTGGTGACAGGACTAAAATGAAAAATAAAGGTTCATCCTTGTGTAAAGAGAGCACAAGCGCAAAGTCCACTGAGAGGTATCTTCTAGCAAGCACGGTCGGTGGAATAATTCCCAATCTACAGGGTTGGACCATAGTGTGGATTCAGGGCAGAAACACTAAGGGAGTTACCTTTGCCCAACAAGCAAGGTGAGTGTGCACAAGAATGCGTACCTCCTTGTTGTCACCAGTTCTCTTCCCAATGTGCTAGTCCATGTGAAACAACCTGCTGAAAGCGCTCCTACAAATAATAAGCACTCAATACAGATGGGGCAGAGAGAAGATGCAGCTAGTAAAAGATTTTACTTCTCCTGTGACTTTCCTATGTGCTGGCTTTTTTATATAAATTATGTCGGCTAATCTTATGACAGGGGAAGATTCTAACTTTCCAAAGCTCTAACTAGTAAAGAGCAAAACTCATCCAGAAATTCTGTCTCAAGAGCCTATCATCTGAACCTCTAGGTCTACTGCTTTCTGGCAAAGAAACTTCCTTTATGGCAAATAAATTAATAAGGCCCTCTAATATTGTGGGAGGCACCCCCCCCCACGCCAAACAAAAAAACAAGTGTACAAACTAATGCTTCTCTGGTGAG